CACACGTCGAAGGCACCTTGACCTTCCGGGCCTGCGGCGCAGCCCGTCCTCCCGCGCCGCGCCCAGGGCTGCCCCTCAGGGGTGGCAGCGCCACTCTCCTGCGTCCTCGCGCCATTGCTCGGAAAATCCTGCACATCCCACCTTCAGAGTAAATTGAGAAGACCACGGCTCACGGATTCACGGTGTTCCCGGTGCAGCCCCCGCTGTCCCCTGGGTTACTGTGGTCGCCTCTTCACCGGCTTCCGGTGCCAGAGCCTTTGCTGGTGTAGACTAGTCGTGTCTGCTCCCGCTCCTCGGCTCCCCGGGTCTCTCCTCTCCCCCAAGACGGGTGGGTCCTTCCCACAGCCAGCAGTGTCCTGCCCTCTGTCCCCCACACGGGCACACAACAACTCCTTTGGCATCTCCCTTGGCTTTCCCTCCCGATATCTGGTTATTGCAAAAGGTTTTCTTTTAATGCCTCATTTTGAAAAATAATGTATTCATTTCATCTCAAATATTTTTTAAAGAAAGCGTCCCTTACCACGATTCTCACAGAAGGTGTGCGAGGCTTATTTATGCACACTGACGTTATCACAACCTCTGGCGGCTGGTGGACAGACATGCATATCTATTTTGGTCCAAAGAGTCTGCCACTTCCCTCTGCAGACTTTTGCACAGAGGTTTGAGTGTGCGGGGGAAGAGTCCTCTCTCTGTCCCCTGCCCTGCGTGAGGCCGTGGGTCCAGGAGGAGAGAGCTGCACCGGGAGGAAAGGACCAGGCTTCCCTCCAGTGTCCCCATTGCTCCCCTTCCCCCACTGCCCGGGAGCAAGGGAAAAATCACACCTTTTGCTCTTGCAGTTGCTGCCTGTTCCCGCTGCTCTTTATTTGATAGCATCGAGAGAACAAGCCACATGCTAGAAAAGTCAGGAGGTTTATAGGAATTAAGTGCATAATAACAATTTTAATCTCTGCACCCAAACTATCCCCAGAGATAGACAAATTCCAGTTGTCTGACATGGCCTGGATGCCTTCTAAGTAGAAGCACCTTGCTCCTTCTCAGTAACGACAGCAGGCTTCTGTGCCGGCCTTGCATGTGAGGCCTGGGCATAACCTTGAGTTTTAAGTGGGCTGTCTCCAAATTTGGCATATTTATATAGGGATTATGAGGAGAAGAATCAACCTATGGACTATACTAAAATCCTGCTACATTTTGAACACTGCGTTAGGCACCAAAGAAAGGGTCAAACGCAACTGATGACGTGGCCCAATTACAGAGGGCCAAATGCAAACCTAGCGATGTTTAGGAAACAGCAAAGTTGTAAGTGCCAGTGAGTGGGGCGATCAGTCAGCATCCACGTGTTTGACACCTGCTAAGTACCCAGTCCGACAGTACCAGGTGCAGAGCAGTCAGAACTCTCAGGATCCGTTTGCACCAGTAACCATTTCTAATCGGTTTAAACACACACCTGTCCTGTGACCTGTCCTGCGTTCCATTTTTGGGTATCTACACAAGAAAAATGTTAATATATGTGCACAAAAGACTTGTGTATTGTTGGAAGTTTTATTTGTAACAGCCCATAACTGGAAACAACCTGATTTTCCATCAGCATGGGAAGGGATAATGCAAATAAAGTATATTCGTACCATGGAGTGTTACTAAAAACAAAACAACAATGAACTCTTGTTTGACATAAAACATGAGTGAATCTCAAAAACACTATATTCAGAGAAAGAAGCCAAATACTATACTGTATCATTCCACTCATATGAATTTTAAAACAGTCAAAACTGATCATTAGTGATACCATTCAGAACAATTGTTACCCATTGAGGCTTTGACTAGAAAGTTTCAAGAGAAAGATTTTGGACAAAAAGAAGATATTCTATATCTTAACTTGGGAAACGGGTATGCAGTAAATACCTTTGTCAAAATTCATCATATTTACTTTTAAGATCGATGCATTCTATCACATACACGAGCCTCATAGCTCGGCGTGGTGGTGTGCACCTGTTGTCCTAACTACTCAGGAAGCTGCAGCTTGAGCCCAGGGGTCCGGGGCTAGCCTAGGCAACATAGGGAGACCCTGTCTCTTAAAAAATGAACCACAATAAGAAACCAAAACAAAAATATAAAAGTACCCCCCCAAAGCTCACATAACAAAGGGCTAACGTCCAAATAGACAAAGTGTTTCCAGAAATCAGCAAGAGAAAGACCAGCAAGCAATAGAAAGATTGATAAAGTATAAACAAACAGTTCATAGGAAAGGAAATACAAATGGCTCTTAAACATATGAAAATATTGTCAACTTCAATCATAACAAAAATGGCAATGATAAGTACATGGGAAAGACATTTTTCATTTATCATAGTTGGCAACCCTTGGCTGGGGAAGATGTTGGAAAAGAAAGACTTATGGTAGTTAATTTGGTGCTATTTCACTATTTATCAGAAACACAGAAGCATATAGCCCGTGGCTCAGCAATCCCTTTTCTGGGAATTTCCCCCACCCTTACCGCCCCCCCGCATACTTGCATATATCCCAATGTTAAGGATGGCGGCAGTATTTGGAATAGCAAACATTTAGGGACAACCATACCTGTGTGGCATAACCAGCCATAAAGAGGAATGAGGAAGCTGTCTGTGCACTGACATGGAAATGGCCCTAAGGTGTATGAACAGAAAGAATCAAATGCAGATGCCATGTACAATATGTGCCCTTTTGTGCAAAGGATGGGGATAATAAGATTACATAATCACATTTACTTATAAAGCACCCCCGCAAAATCACCCAAGAAACTAATGCTAGCGATCACCAGTGAGGAATGCAAGGACGGGCCCAGACAGACAGGAGGCATGCAGGTAGACTGTTAGCCTTCTACCCTTATTTATTTTCTTTTTAAATTTTTGAATCATATACATGTTTTATCTGTGGCAAAGAGAGAGACTGAGTGAGAGAGAAAGAAAAGAGGAAATGTAAATGGATAAATAAATTCTAGAAAGCCCAGAGCCAAACACACTTCAGCTCCTAGATGTATGAGCACAAGTAAAATCCTAATTTGATTCTTTTAACTACTATGAAAGATTTCAGTTCTTCTCTCTCTTCTTCAGACAGTCCCTAGAAACCTTCCTCTAAGCAGGAACGGCAGCTTTCCAGCTTGGCAAGAGGCGGGGGCTCTGGGGGCCAGGGGGCCGGCGTCAGGAGCAGGAACCAAGTCACCAGGGGAAGCTGGTTTTAGGGGAGACTCTTCTCCTGCAGGAGGCCATGGTGTGGGGGTGCTGTTGTGTTTTCTGAAGACAGCTGCAATTTGTCACACAACTTCTGAGCCCCTCAAATCCCTGGAAATGCCAGAGTACGTGGCAAATCTGACACAGCAGAAGGCTTCCATGGCCTGGTGACATCCAAGAAGTGAGAAAACAGAACAGGCTAAACTACATGGGTATTTAAAAAAAACAAACAAACCAACAAAAAACCATCTTTCAGCTTATAGGGGGAAAAAAAAAAGCATGAACTTCCTTAAGTATACCCACAGCAGTGGCAGCCTTGGAGGGGGCAGGTTCATCAAATGACCCCACTGTTTGGAATTTAGAAAGTCCCACACTTGGATTTCCACTGTGGTGGGCTTTGGGAGCTGCAGAATGAGGTCCCCGCATGCCTACGGCCGACCTTTCCTGACACACATTGCCAACTCTTTAACCAGGGTGGTTTATTACACTCTGCCATTAGGAAAGGAAGTTGGGACAGAGGTTTTTAAGATACACACAGTAAACTCTAAGGTGGTCTGTGAAGCCAGAGGGCTAACAGGACACTCACTGTTCAGTTTCGCTACTGGGAAAGGACATTCGGACAGCTGTATCTAACAAATGCTTGTAGCAAAACACTGTTTTAGGAGCAGTACCTTGCCAAGAGTGTCCTGATAATGTCTATTTTATTTTCAATACATGGACATTCTCCAAAACGTGAGTACAGTTTTTTACCTTCACCTCGTAACTTGGTTTTTTTCCCAATAAATTCATTTGAGATCTGTTCCAATGAACTAAAGCCAGGCTGGATTTGATTTACTCACAGGGTGAAGGCAGCAACTCTCCAAAGGTCCTTAGCTGAGCAGCCCCGCGAGGTTGTCTTCCAGAGCCCTTCTGTTGATCTGAGTGCCCCCCGTAAGTAATGCACTGTAAGGTGGGTCATGACATTGAAACCCCGTCTGCCCACAAGAAAGATGAGTAATTAAATGCAGGTCATTCTACTTGGGGGTATTAGGCCAAGTGAAATACGCAAGACACAGAAGGACAAATATGTATGATTCCACGTATATGAGATCCCTGGAGCAGTCCAATTCATAGAGACAGAAAGCAGAAGGGCGGTTGCCAGGGGGAGGGAGGAGGGAGGAATGGAACGTTAGCGTCAGTTTAATGGGTGCAGAGTTTCACTTCTGCAAGATGTAGAGAGTTCTGGAGATGGGCGGTGGTGATGGTTGCACGACAGTGTGAATGTGCGTAAAGCCACTGAACCGCACTTAGAAATGGTTAAGATGATAAAATTTATGCGTATTTTACTACAATTATAAAAAATAGGTGGAAACTACCTGTATTATCTATTTTTTTTAAAAAAATTAGGTAGTTCTTGTATGGAAAAAGAGCTCAATTAGATTGGAGAAGTGAATGTGCTTGGCCTACAGCAAGTGCTTTCACAAAGCAAGCTGTTTTCACGAAGGACACGATGCACATCAGCATCCTCGGGAGGGCTGTAGGAAGCACACGCTGGCCTCCGCTCCCCACAGAGCAACTGTGGACCCAGCGTGGGAACGTCTAAACATACCCCCCGGGTAGTTCCAACACAGCCGGGTTTACAAACCACTGCATCACCGCGCCCTCGCCGTATCTGCCACCTGCCCTGCCCTAGTCACTGGCCTGGCTGACGTGGCCGGTGGGTGTGTCCCAGTCCATTTGCAGTCTCAGTTTCTGTCACCAGAATGTTCACCAGACATTCGTGCTCCTAACGGATTCCTCTGTGCTTTGCTCTTCCAGATGGGTATGCGTTTTCTCAAGCAGAACAAGCTGCGGTCACTCAGGAAGAACTAGTCCGTTCTTATGACACCACTAAAATTGCAAGCAAGAAGAGTTTAAGTGTTAAATCAAACTGATTCAGATTAATGTTCACATCATTGTATCCGGCACCCTCCCGTCCTTGGCTGAGGCTGGCGCAGGAGCCGGCACTCCCAGGCACTCGCGGTTGTGGCTTTGACCAGCCGGTCTGGTATGTATATACCGACTGAGTCATGCTCCGTGGGTATAAATAACTGGGGAACCCTATTTACTTTTCTTAATTTGTCTCCAATGTTCTACCAAATGTATTTCTTTTTCTGTGGCTGTGAGATAATTTGTTCATCAGCTCAGTCTGAACTATAAAATTAAAAGCATTGTGTTTCACCAAAATTTAAACTTTGCTACAAGTTTTTTTTGGGAAAAAGGATTATCCTGTTGCATAATAAAGCTCTCTTGCCTAACAGGAAAGGGGTCACTCAGAAACTTTGCATTTTGAAAACTCACAGGCGTGACACAACATATAAAACACTTTTCTCAGTAGGATGTCCCTCTGAGTCACATTTTGTTTGTATGAAATTTGTGTGATAGTCTTGATTTTAGTAAACTCACATAATGAGTGTGCTGTCAGGCCTCAAAATCAGGCATGTAAGAATCAACATGTCATTAGTTTCTATAAATCAGTTTAATCTCCATTCTGAGTTTCCCACCTCACAGGACTATTAGGAAATTCGATCTCGATCATTCTTAGGGCTCTGCCTCAGGCTGCACCAGCCTTCGAGGCTCTTACACGGTGCCAAGCACCGAAGCCCCTTGTTCTGTCATCTGCCCACACAGTCCACCACTAAGACACACGGTCCCTTTTGGTCTGGCAGCCCTTTGAGGCTTCTGTGCCAGGACTGGGAACTGGAACCTTTGGAAAGGTGGGCAATCCCGACGCCGTGGTCTCACGCCCTGAGGAAAGCCCCTCCTCTCCTGCAACGCGCCTTCCCGGGGCATTTCCGCTAGTCCAGGGAACAGCGCCCTCTCTCTCAAACCCTGTTCTGTTGAGTGAGTTTTTAGAAGCAAAGACTGGGAATTCTTTCTTGAAGCCTCCCTCTATTTTCTGTCCTGCCAAAATGACCCCTCTGAGGAAATGAGCCGAAAGCCTCATGCCCGTTTGAAGGAAGATAAGGCAACAAGGAAAAAACACTGGGAGAAAAAACTCAATTAGAATTTCAAAAAAAAATCCATGAATAGATAAATAAAATGTAGTATACCCATATAATGAGATATTATTCAGCCATGAAAAGGAATGAAGTACTGATACATGTGCCAACATGGATTAACTATGGAAACATGACGCTAATTGAAAAAAGCCCATCACAAAAGGCCATATACAATATGATTCCGTTCATTCGGAATGTCCAGAATAAGCAAAGCTATAGAGCTATAAAGTGGGTTAGTGGTTGCTTAGGTCAGGAGGGAAGATGAGGGGTAAAGTGTTAGTATTTAAAGTCTATAGGGTTTCTTTTTAAGGTGATAAAAGTGTTCTAAAACTGACTGGGGTGATGCTTGCACATATTTGAAACTAAACTAAAAACCATTGAATTATACACTTTAAGTGGATGAATTAGTGATTTAAATCTTAATAAAGCTATGTTTAAAAATTATCCAGCTGGGCACAGTGGCTTACACCTGTAGTCCCAGCTACCTGGGGGGCTGGGGTAGGAAGATTGCTTGAGCTCAGGAGTTTGAGACCAGCCTGGGCAACATAGCAAGACCCCCACCTCTAAAAAATTTTTGAAAAATAAATAAGTAACTAAATAGATTATCCAGGGAGATTCTACTTATAATCATGATGTAGTAACTATACTGCCCTCCTGTTTAAAACTATTAGAAAACTGGAAAAAATAAAAGAAACAACTATTTTCAGACATTAGACAAAGGGCAGCACAGGATTATAATCCTTAAGGGAAAGGAAATAAACGAAGTGAGCCTTATCATTGCCAGCCTTTCTCCAGGCAGTTTTTGGATCATAGTGCAAGGAGGTGGTACCCAAGCAAAATGTAATACTCTCATTAAGTTGAGGAGACTGAGATACAAGTTTGGGGAGGCTGCGGCAGCTGGAATTTGCTGCGTAGAGTACTGTTGAGAGGGATGCTGTACACAGAAAAAGCTCTAGGAATTTCCATAGGGATACCATAAAGTGAATAGCTATTAAGAGAAGCTAAGCTACACACACATAGAGTGAAACTCAATAAAGTTGAGCAAAGACAAGCTACCTGAGAGATATAATCTCAACAATTCCCAGAACTCCCACAGGATTCAAGTTCTAACCAATCAGGGTGGCAAAACCTCGATGAATACTTGAGATATTCCATAGAGACCCGAAAGGGCCATACCTTGAGAGTAGGGCTAAACTAGCACTACAGAAAGAACTACTCTAGACTTTTAATCTTATGTTAACAAAGCTTATCTTAATCTTTATCTTATCAAATCATAAAAACAAGACTCTAAAGCAGTAGGTGGCTCCATAACTAATTTAACTACCTGCAGAAAAGCAAAACAAAAAGCTTCAATGGAATAAAACAAAATCCAGACACTTAACAATGAACGAAGTATCCAACATCCAGTCAAAAATACTAGATATTCAAGGCAGGAACATATGATCCATAACCAGGATAAAAATAAGTCAATGGAAAGAGACCCAGAGGTGATACAGATGACGGAATTTACACGCAAGAACTTCAAAACAGCTATTATAAATATAATAGCTGAGACCTTAAAAACAACGTAATAGAGAGAGAAATGGCAACCATAATAAAAGAATCAAATGAAACTTCTAGAGCTGGAACACAATGAAAACTTCACTGGCTAGACTTAGCAGCAGATGAGACATTGAAGAATAAAAAATAAAAACTTGAAGACATAGCAGTAGAAACTACGCGAACTGACACACAAAGAGAAGGAAGGCTGAGCAAAGAATGAAGAGAGCCTCAGTTACCTGTGAGACAATGTCAAGTAGTCTTCCACGCCTTGGAGTTGCAGGTAGCTAAAGGGACGGACAGACAGATTGAATAAATAAAGGCAGAACATTTTTCAGTATTCGCTTGTATCTCGCTGAGCTCCTTTAAATATTAGAGCATGTAAAAAGCAAACAAACACAAAGCCACCCAAACTTCAGGGGAGAAATGATTTCATCATCAATCCTAGGCATTTAAGTCGGTCAGTTGATATTCTGAAATATCACAGGTCGTTCTACAGTGGCGCTGTACAAAAGCATCCGGGCGGTGCATTTTTACACAGCCCTTTATTTTCTTGCGCAAGATGTAATTGTAACATGAACACATAAACCGTGGGTAACGTGAACCAGATAACATGTATGTACTGTAGGTCACATCGCGTGTTTAAATACTTCCGGAGAACTCCAGGTCATGTGCAAGTGGCTGTCAGTGGTGGAGCAGGGGCCTCAGAGAAACGGACAGGAGCTGGGTGCCCGGGACACACTCGGAATGTGTCCAGAACATCATAAAATTGACGCCAGAGAAGAAAGGACTGGAAGGGAAGACAGGAGCGTCATGGGCTGTGCGCTGGAGGAAGAGCCCAGGGAGGAGCGGGGACGATGAACCGAGGAGGAAGCGGTCCTGAAGCTCCCTTGGCGCTTCTCCGGACCCCTGCACTTGGCCTACTTGTCAAACGGCCCGGGAAGCTGAGCACCGCGCCCGGACGCAGGCAGCGAGCCTGCGAGGCGCTCCCACGGCGCGGGTGAGGCCGCCCTGCGTGCCTCTCGCGCCCGCCGTGCTGTGCGCCCTCGCCCCGGCACCGACCCTTCCGCCTCCCGCCCCGCCGGGCGAGCGCAGGGACGCCGCGCGGACCGCGGGGGCGCACGGCGCTTTCCGTTCCCTCCACTCCCCCGGAGCAGCCCTGGTTGAGAAGGTCCCCGGGGCGCTCCGGGCTCCGGCAGCGCGGGGCGTGGAAGGAGGTGGGCGCCCCCGTGCGCGCACGTGTGTGAGCGGCGCCTGCTCCTGCATTTCAGTGCGTGTGCAAGGGAGACAGCGCCTCGAAAGCCCCTTTGGCCTCCGTTAGTCCCCCGCCACCTGGGGATGGATCAGCCCGTTCGGGGGTTTGCTGCCGAGATGAAAGGGAGATGGAGAGCTATGGGGAATGTTCTCGACGCATCCAGCCTTCTTTCTCTTCACCCACCCAAACTGGCACCTTAAAAGCCCCTCACCCCATAGCGGCGGTTCTCAGGGTGGACTGACAGCGTCCGCATCGCCAGAGAACGGTTAGAACCGGAGTTGTTGGCCCCAGCCCAGACCTACGCAAGAAACTCTGGCTGTATCCCCTGCCCCGCCCCCATCGTGTCGACCAGCCAGTTCTCAGGTGAGTCGGTGCACGCCGGGAGCGCGGACCACGGGGAAGGACGCCCTCAGCACACACAGCCTGCGCCACCTTCGGGTTTTAACGCTGAAAGCCCAGCGCACACGCAGGGTTTCAAACAGAACCACGCAGCTGCCCACACCTCGCAGCCTGTCGCTTATTAGTTTCCCAGCTCGTTAGAGGTCGGGATCCTGGGGAGCTGTGTCCCCAGATAGCCATGACGCGGGAACACGTGTCCCGGAAACCTGGCTAATGAAAAACCTAAAAGAGAATTCTTTATAGGTTTTGAATTCTTTTACTGTCTATGGTGGTTCTGAAATTTGTATGAGGAGTCAGCCCTTGATTTTGGGGAAGCCACGTGGTGACAGTTTGCAGTCGCCAACGCTTGTTACCTCAGGCTGTGTATGGTAAGGCAGCGGGACTTTCTCTAGGTGACCCAAATGGCAAGGATTTTATGGCCGTAGCCAGTGGGGAGTGTGCTGCCCTCTACTGACGATGCAACTAAAACGAGTTGTTCACAGTTCCTAAAACTGTGTTCCTTGGTTCATTTAATGTGTATAGCTGAAGATTCTTTTACTAGGCATGGTTCACATTCTTTTAATTCTTGGAAGACGTAAGGTGTGACTGTTTTCGCCTACCCCATATTAAAGGCGCAGAGGCACGTGTGCTTTGTAAGT